TGTGCTTACGCGTACACGCACGCATAATTCTCTTAAATTTAGTAATTTTCCATAACACGTATGCATGCACGCATGCATGCACACATATGGTTAAATTTATATTAAATAAAGGAACAAAAAAGTAACGATTCGTTACTTTTTGAATAACGATGACGGGAATAAGTTACTTTTTTCGGTAACGAGTAACGGTTTATCTGATTATTTTTAAAACATAATTTTCAATTCTGTGGATGTATGCGTACATGCACACGCATGGACGCACGTACACAGGATGAACAAAATAGTGTTACAAATTTTTATTTCTAAAAATATTGTGTCTAGAAAAAATTGTTTTAAACAAAGTGCAGTATCTTAAGGTGGCCATAAATTGATAAGTTATAGAAATTTTTGTAGGCAATGGTTTTCAAAGCATTTCAAGATTATTTGAATTTTTTCAATGAAAATGGATATTTTTTTTATACCGAGTTCTGAAAGACTGTTTAATTTTGCATAAAAAGATGTTGATGAAAATGTCCCAAAACCAATAGTTTAGAAGATATCCATAATTTTTAATCAAATTAGACAAAACTGAAAGCTGCTAACTACTCAAAAACCTAACTTACTTAACCTAATTTATTTATTTTACTTAATTTGAGAGTGCCAATCAAGCAATTATTTTACACATTTATGCCTAAGTTACATCACAGATATTATAAAGGATCCTAAAACCTTTCCATGCTAGAATCACTATGTGTATTGAAGAAGATCGTTATTTTGAACATTTATTAATTTAAAAAAAGAAATATATATACTTCTATCTTAATTTACTAAATAAATACTAATGAATCTTATTTTACTAAACTAACTTATTTTACTAAATAAATACTAATGAATCTTATTTTATATAAAATTTTTATAAAATTTATATACTTTTATATAGAATTTTATATTTAAAATAATAATTTATTCCTTTTTTAGAAATAAACACATGTGAAAACACAGCAGACAGAATTTGGAGTTATTAAATATTATGGAAGTGATGCACTATGAGATTCTTATCTCTACTAATACATAAATGTGAACCTGCATATAGGATTATCTTTTTTTTATGTCTCTTATTCGTTGTTCTTGATTGATTTGACTAAGAAAGGAACATATGTACATGCATGAAAGATAATAATCACTTGATAAGTGCTCTTGAATTTAGGTAAAGTAAGTAGATTAGATAAGTTAAAGTTTTAAGTAATTAGTATTTTCCAGTTTTGTTCAGATCGATTACAAAATACAGATAACTTTTAAACTATTGATTATCGAACGTTTCCACAGATACATTTTTACATAAAATTAAAGTCCTTCAGAATCTAGTATAAACAATGTCCATTTCTATTGAAAAAAATTCAGTTAATCTTGAAATGACTTTGAAAACCGCGGTTTATAAATATTTCTATAACTTATTAATTTATGAGATTAAGATACTGCACTTTTGTTTAAAAGTTTTCTCTAGAAACAATATTTTTGGAAATGAAAATTTGTAACACTTTATTTCGTTTACCTTGTATAAATCCCATTTTAATTTTTTTACATAATTATCTCCTAAACTACTTGCTATTCGAAAAAATCTTATGGAAAATCTTATAATGAGATTCTTTTTCTTTTTTTGATGCAAGAGTCTCTAAAATCTCAAAATAACTTTTATCCTTTTAAAAGAACTATATGTCTCTTTTTAACTTTAGTCTTATAATCAATTCCAAAATGAGTTCATTGATTTATGACGTATGAATCCTGCAAAATTATTTATGATTAATGAAAGTCATTTAAAATCTGTCTTAGTTGAACGGTCCATCTTCTGTGTTCAAAAGGATGATATTGGATATCAATACATTGGTCAATTTTGTTTCTGAATTTACTTCTTCTAAAGTTGTCTGAATAATATTTCGGCAGATCCATGATCCGGACTCTCATATACTTGATATAGGAACAAACGATAAGAATAAAAATGATAGTCTTAGTATTTTGGATTATGTTGGATATTAGTATTTTGGATTGCAGTAAATCATGACACATTGTAAGAATTATTTATCATCCGAGCGCTGGTATAAAAATTCAATGTTATCGCTGCAAATGTGAGATAATCTGAATTTTTTGAACAGTGCGTATTAAATCTGTTTTTCCTCCGAAGAACTTCTGAATTAGTGCAACTAGTACAACAAGTTAAAATGGAAACGAAGATGAGTTAGATTTTTTCTCACTCTAACTTGTTGCCTTAATGCAGAAGTTCTTCCAAAAGGAACAAACCAATTGTGCTGTCGCAAAAATTTCCGCTGAGTACGAAGTTCATAATTATGAAACACTATAAGTGTAGAATGGCGACAGGCTTGAAAATTCTCTCTCTTTCCTCTCTTCTCCTTTTTCCCTCTCTCCCTCCTTTCTATCTCTTTCCCCCTCCCTCTTTTCCTCCTAGGCCGGGATGGTGGTGGCCCATCCTGTCACACAAACAAAGACGGCCTGGTCGTGAAATGGTGGTTGAGGCTTCGACTTCCCTCTTTCCCAACCATCATAGGCAGGGCGCAAGAAGAAAAAGCGGCGGTCAAAGACTCAGAGCTTTCCCCCTCTTTTCTTTTAGGGACAGACGGCGTCCTAATGCCAGAACAAGGGGCCTGCTATTTAAGGGCATCCGGACCTCTAAAAAATCCCTTCGTTATGCTACTCGGGAAGGTTTTAGGTAGGAGTTTGATATAACCCCAGACTTTTCCCCGGGAGTCTGCGGTATCCAAGATGGATTTCCTCCTCAAGAGAAGAAGAAAAAAGAAAAAAGTAGATCTCATCAAAGCATTTTTTAAATATCTAAAATAATTTTTTTAAAATAACATTCTTTAAAAATTGTTTTTTGCATAAGCTGTTCCAGAAATATAAGGCTTCAAAGTTTATTTAGATACTAGTTAAAAACAGGACTTAATAATCTTGCATATTGAGTGTTGTCTGTTGAAAAACCTAACGGCACATATCTTTACCACCAAGTTATCATTGTACAAGCTATTTTTGTCATGTCAATTATTTCGGATGAGCTGTAATCTTTCATAATAAATAATCTGATGAATAATCAAAGTATGAACTATGAAATTTTTAAATAAAAAACTGTTTATGTAATTAGTATATGTATTATATATAAATTAGTAGAATGGTTCTAAATAAATTCTGGAAATGCAAACATAAGAACTTAACATTTAGTAAAATTTTTACAAGATTTTAAAATTTATACATCAATATTAAGTAGCACTTGATATATGCACTTATAAGGAAATTGTTTCTCACCGACCTTGATAGGCTTTGGATATATCGAGCATTAAAAAATATTAGAACCATATATTTTTTTAACTGCATATTTTAACGTAAGAGTAGAAAATCTTCTCGAAAAAACGACATTTCCATTATTTCTTAAATTACGAGATATATGAAAAATGTTTCATACAAAAGTTATAAAGTAATTTATATTCTTTGAAACGGTCTACACAAATTAGAAAAAAAAAGGAATATTTTTAACAGTCCCCTCTCTTTCCCTCGTTACTTTTACAAATTTTTATATTTTTGCAAGGACGAAAATTGAAGAGCATTAAATATGAAAATCGTAACAGTTTTTTAATTATAACAGCGCAAAGTTAGGCGTTTTCTACGCCCAGCGCGGCCTATAGACGCTCCACGGCAAGCTGTGTGCGTGGGAGCTGAGCGATAACGTGTCTCGCGCTGACTGTCGCAATGGCGTCGTGGCGCTTTGACGCCCGCGCGACGGTCAGCGCGAGTTGCGTTACCGCTCAGCTCCCACGCACAGCTTGCCGTGGAGCGTTTATAGGTCGCGCTGGGCGTGGAAAACACCTAACTTTGCGCTGTTATAATTAAAAAATTATTACGATTTTCACATTATGGTAGAGGACTTTTTTATTCTTCTCACTTAGCTCTATGTCCCTACGGAGCCCGTGTCCCAAAGTTCTGAGACATCCTGTATACTAAATTACCAAATAACTTATCGAAAATATGAGCAAACTTTTGCACTCATCCAATATTAGGTAAATGCAAAAGTTTTAATTAGTCTCTAAAAATACATGGTCTCAAAAATTAGTCTCTAAAAAATACGATTAATCCAGTTTTATGACAACATTTATAAATACAAGTGCGTATGCATATACGCGCATGTATGCATGTTAATATGCCATTGGATGATAGAAAACAATAGCAATTATTTGATAAAATGAGAAAATATAGGGGAAGTGAGTGAAAGGGAGGGAGAGAGAAGAGAGAAATTTCTTAGTTAATTTTTTGCTAAATCCATAAAAAAATTTTTGTACCCACCTTATACTAAATTGGTTACGCTAATGTAATAGATGTCAGTTTGTTAAAAACTATGTACCATATACATATGTATCATACATTCATAAATATATATACGTTTATGCACATCATATACATTCAAACACATCAAAGCTGCGAGTGCAGCCTGAGAAACAAATTTACTTTACATGCGTGAGTACTAAAAATTGGAAAATCAACTTTTCTCTGCAGATTCTGAGGATAACACTAAGAGATTTCAAGATTTACCTCTTAATACAATTGACCGCAATGAAAAGCTTGCGCCAATATTACATGATAAAAATATTATTAAATTTTTTTATAATGATTTTAGTTTATGAAATATTTTATTCCAAAATTTGATAGACATAAAAACTTCAGATAAGAATATTGCGACATATTGCGAGTAATTGTATATAATCTGTCATCAATCTAATGGCCCATCTACATAGGTCGCAACATGCAAAACGCAGATAGCACGATGCAAAAATTGACCAATTATAGTCGAATGTAAGGAAAATGATCAACTATGATTGATTAATTTCTGCGTCCTGCGATCAGCATTTTGCGTGTTGCGATCTATATAGATGGGCCGTAACAGTTTTGTATGTACTTACGTCGCGACACTACTGAGCTGCTTAATGAGTGAAAAATTGTATAAAATATTTAGAGGTACATACGTGACTTGTCATTAGCAATCTCTTCAACGTCTTTATATTCGTCGTTTTCCTTTATTTTGGCAGAATCAAGTATTGCATTTTTGTTTATTTCCGAATTAGGGACTTCCATGTTGATATTCTCACAATTTTTAAAGGCTTTTTCAACTTGTATATCATCCATTTTATTTTCGTTACTGAAATAAACGAAACAAAAATAATTACTAAATATATTATTAAAATGGGTATTATTTATTTAATGACTTATTGTATAACATTTTATAATACCTTTTCTCGTATTTCTTTTCAACAACAGATTTACTCTTATTTTCTCCTTTCTCCTTCGAAATATCTTTAGTTATTGTAAGCTTGGGTGGTTTAACATCCAAGATTTGCAAATCTTCCTCTGTACCTCCTTCCAGTTTAATAACTACTGCATCCAAGAGACGAAGCAAAGCATCCGCTTGATCAGCATCAACAGATACTTTGTCTATTTCACCCAATTTTAGCATCTCCAGAAAAACCTCCACCCGTTTCTAAAATAGGAAAAAACCGAGATTCGTTAATAATCAATGTTAAGCATATTTGTTAATGATAAAAGATGAAGATAAATGTTATAAATATTAACATCACATCTATACCTTAAGAGCTGACACTTGTTCATCTTTCCTCTTCACTGATTCTTCAGGATGATATTTTATTTTGAACCTAGTGATAACAAAAAAAATGCAATAAATAAATGCTCACAACAGAATTAATAATTTCGTCGACATATTACATAAATCTTGAATTAAAATGCATATACATAGAGCTCAGTGATGCTGCTAATTCTGTAATTTAATAAAGGTAATGCGGATAAAATTAGTCTTTTCTTTTCTAAATAATACGCATATGCGTTATGTATGTAGATGAGGTATGTAAACTAATAGAAGTATTTTAATAAATCATAAAATCGAAATCAAATATCTAATAATTTACTTTCATTACGTGTAAATGTGCATGTATATCCATATAAACTGAAAAATCCTATTTTAAATTAATTATAACTCCGTGTATACGGGAATACACATGTAATACAACTTTGTATAATGTTAAAAAAGTAGTAATCTGAAGAATAATTTCAGGATAAAAAAAGAGTAATCTTAGTAGAGCATAAGTCGAAGGAAATAGTCAAACGACAGAATGAATTATTAGTTATAAATTTCAAATTATTACGTAGTTATCGCCATTAATTTCAGCTGTAAGTTCAAAATTAGAACATTATACATCTTTTAGTTAAACACGAATTAATATTTACAATTTATATATCCGTTATAATAGCGAATGTCTTAAATATGTTCGATTGTATCAACATTGCCAGTTACAGTTACAGTATGAAGCCTCACCTGTAGTTATATTTCTACTCGCATTTGGTTTTCTTGTCGACACAGAGTCTTATTATAAAGACAGTATAGTACTCAAATGTGAAAATAAATAACGGGTTTAGAACGCGGCCTATACGCGAGCATATTTGGGCTTTGCGCGCCCAGCTCACAATTTATTTAGCTACCTAACAGGCACCTCATGTCTTCAGCGATGCGCGAAACGCGAAATGTATAAAATATCGCACGAAAAAATAAACGAGCGAGATGACCAGTGCCCAAGGTATAAGATGATGGCGGCGATATGCTGTAGGAATAGACAGAGCTGGTCATATTGTTTGGAATTAACTACAACATTGTGTCTGCAATTTATCAAAAATTATCAATCGTCCTTTATCTTTTCCAGACATGTAGTTACACAGGTACATGCATGGACAGAATTCTGCATGACTGACAAATCTTACAGTAACTATTTTGATTTTTACTGTATCGATCCTTTTATTAGAGGTGACAAATCAAATAAGATCAGAAAAACCAATTTTTATTTAGTTATAAATATGAAAAATAATGCTATTTATTTACTTAAAAAAGAATTTAGTCACTGTAGATATTAATTTAATTTGTTTTTTCTTGAAAATACTATGATAAAATCGTTGAATCCTATATAGTGTAAGCAGCCCTCAAGAAGTCCATATGAAAAATATATGAGAAAAAAGGAATATGAAAGAATATTAAAATTAATATACCATTCTTCATCTTTGTGGGCAACAAAAAATTCATTCATCTGCTGTCTCCTGAATTCCGATTTGTATTCGTTGTATCGTTTAATGGCCTCTTCATCAGTAATAGTGTCTTCTTGGGTGCCAAGAAATGCTTTGAATGACATCATTTGTGGTTGGGTCTCAACATTTGAATTACTAAAATTTCCAGCTACTTCCCGACTGGAAACAAATTATAAACACACTATATTTATTCCTCTTAAATAATTTCTGTAGTACTATTAATTTTACTAGTTTAGAGCTCAGAGCTATATGGTTACTGAGAATAGAATACTTTTAATTATTATATATCAATCAATGAAAAAAAAAGTTCTTAAAAATATCAGACTGAATAAAATTTTATTTGTTAATGTCAAAATATATAAAAAAAGAACAATTATAAGTGTATATTATCACAATAGTTAGTAATTTCTTGGAATAAAATTACAAGTTGAAGATATTTATAAAATATATATGTAAAAAATATATATATGTATCTGTAGCACTCAAGATATTAATTCAATATACAGAATATAATATAAACTATATATAGTTATTTAATAAATTATGTATTTAATACTAATATATTTTAATTCATATTTTATTTATTAGTATATTTCTCTTAAATTTCAGCTATTAAAGAATAACTTTATTTATGTTTACTCATAGATTTCTAAAAGCAAATTGTAACTGCATTTTTTAATGAAGTTTTGTATCATATGAATGTAAAACTACCTTAATTTAGCTAGCAATTTTGGAGTTAAACGACTCCGCTTTGGTGGAATTTTTATAAATCCTGTCCTCTTCATTGTTTTTTATGATCCAGTAAAACTCAAAGAAGCAGAAATATTTAGATAAAGTAAAACAAACAAACCTGCTACTGTTACTATGGTTGCCATAGTGATGGTTACTATGGTGAGGAGGTGTATAATGATCTGGACTCCAGGAACTTGTCCCACCTCCACCACTACTACCATCACCTCGGCTACCATAATAATCATGTCCATATCGTGGTCTGTCATCCCAATCAAATCGCATTCTCTTCATGGGTGGGGCCATTTCTTGAGATCTTGCAGGACTATAACGATCACGTCCTCCACTGCCTCCACCTCGGTAATCACGATAATCAGGACGTTGTCTAGGACGACTGGACCAATCTCTATAAGAATCACGATAATCAGGACATTGTCTAGGACGACTGGACCAATCTCTATAAGAATCATTATCAGTATAACTATAATAACAATGCAAGACAAAACTCAATCTTAATTCTCTAAGAAATATAATTTTTTAAACAGATCATTACTATCAAATGCAGAACACAATTTTATTTGTTATATACAAATTAGTACATATAATTTAAAATAAGTTGTACCTGTCAACCCAATCATCACGTCTACGATCATCTCTGCGTCCTTCTCGTGAATATGATTCTGTCCTTTCGCCTCTGAACTTGTCACGTCTTTTCCTATCATATTCATCATCGGAGTCTGCCATCTTTATAAGGAATTAGATATTTATATCTGACACACAGGTAAAAAATAATTGAAGTTTGTTAATAATTACAAGTTTCATTGGAATATAAGAAATAAAATTCATCAATACATAAAAAATATATCAGAAACAAAATTCATACAATAAAAAGTTACTTCTGGTTTCAAGAACTATATATAACAATATCGGTTTCAAATATAAAGCTTTATTTTGAGAGCAAATAAAATGCTAAATATATTTTTATGATTATGAAGTTAAAGTAATATTCACATAACGTTAAAATAAAAAAGTGGAATTTGCAATAAAACAAAAGCAATGAGAAATATATATCCAGAATAAAGACTACGTTCTATATACTTCACACATGGCTCGGAAAATATTGTATCTAATACAAGAATATGGAATATTTGAAGAAAAATAATTTAACAAATTCACTAACGAGCAATAAAATACCGTATTAGAGAGATTTAAAACGTAGCTAGATAAAGTCTACTATAAAAAATCGTATTACTATTATTAACACCCTGTACTTTTCAGGTTCTGTATGCGAATGGCGACCATGTAAATCGTCGTGGCGTCAATGATCGTTATTGATTCAACGGCTGCGTTTCAATGGCTACGTTCAGCAGAAATAACTGTTTAAGCCAGCGGCACACGGTGCTTGTTTTCGTGCTGGATTGCTGCTGGATGAAAATATTGCATTCTGATTGGTGCATTTCCGAAGATGGATGGAAATGCACCAATCAGAACGCAATATTTTCATTCAGCAAGCAATCCAGCACGAAAACAAGCACCGTGTGCCGCTGGCTTAATAGCGAATTTGGTCGCTTGCACTGGTGCACACTGAGTGCGATTAAGGCTTGTTCATAGTCCGTTCTTATATTTAAAATTGTTTCAAATACATTTTCATAAACTTCTTAGTCAACAAATAATTTGTACGGATGTTATATAAAGTATTCTACTAGCCAAGAAGTATTTGAAGATGTATTTAAGACGTTCTTAAATGAAAAAATAGACTATGAACAAGCCTTACTCGCATTCAGTGTACGGTCGCGGACATAAAGGTTGTCACTTTTTTTTTAATGACTTTCGGGACGCATCCCGACTCGAGAAAGATGAGAGCTGCTCAGCCCCCTCCGACTCAAGCTTTTGCTTGTGCAGTTAATGACCAAAAAGTTGTAGGTGGCGCCTCAATCTAGTTGTCCGATGTAAAATCCGTAAAATTGGCAGAGTACGTAAACAACGTCTTCATTATTGTGTCGTGTTCTAAATATTTTGCACTGTACTTTTGTATATAAAATATAAAAAGATGTATATATAGTATAATAAAAAGGAATATATAGTATGTTGTGTGATACTAATTGTTATAAGTATAATAATTTTTTGTATATTTTCAATCATACGTGTTTAAAAGAAGTCTTATCTAACATATAAGAAATAATAAACGTAACAAAATATTATAAATTATATTTTTATTCTCAAAATTAATTTACGTTTTATAATGTTTGGATAGTTTTTTTATATGCTGGTTATCTTTTTTAGTATTATTTAATTCGCGGCAATATTGTGACAATCTTATTTGCAAGTAGTAATGTACAATATAAGAAATTATATCTATTTTATGCTCCTCGCAAGGAAAAGTTAACATATTAGATTCAATAATATTGCTTAACACAGCATCTGCAACATTTAATTGATTGCAATGTTTCGTAAACACATGTTCCAATTGTTTTAAAAAATTATGAAAACCTACATTGGGATGAACAAAAGGTTTAAGAAGCATATCATTTAATTTTGCTTTTCTGTTAGATGCTTCAGGAGTTTTAGTAAGTGCTCATATACATAAAGAACATGTTTTAAACTTCAACAATTGCTGACAAAGCGTCCAGTAATATAATATACAATGCAATCAAAAGTAGCAAGTGTAGCATAATCATGTTCATATTCAAAAACATCATAAATATCCCACTCATCATTTCTAATAGCATAATTTAATTGTGACTTTATATCAGCAATCAATAATCCTGATTCTGTCTTAGAATTTTGATACAGAGATTTAATGTCGTTTAAAGAAATCAAGGGTGACTTTATTTCTTTTTCGATCATGCAATTTCCACATTTTGGTGGAGAGAGGATGGAATAGGAACATAGAATTTTATAAATTTGTAAAAATGTCGGAGTTGCAGGATGATCATTAGATCCTCCTGCTTGGCGAACACATCCAAAAAACCGCTGCAAGTATTATAAATATATACAGTGCATAACAGACACAATGTTTTTATGTGTGTGTACCATTCAAAATAAATATAAAAATATAAATGAAAGAGAGGAAATAAGATTAATTATTGAAACTAGTAGAAATATATAAAATAATTATAATTACTGAGACAACTACAAATTATAGCTGATTATCAAAACCGATTTTCAAGTCTGAGAAATAGGGTGGGTTTCACCAAGTTAAGTTAATTTAATTAGTTGATTAAATTTAGCTTTTCCATTGGAACTGATCAGTTGCATCGTTCTTAGACAAATAATAATAATATAATTGATTTGTTCCAATGGAGAAACTGAATTTCATGCACCGATTAAATTAACTTGCCTTGGTGAAACCCACTCATACTGTTTTGCATAAGAGTCCGGATCCACAATAAATATTTTAAGGATTATGCATTAATAAATTTACCAATCACAGTCGAATATAAGAAGAATCGTCCAACGAGATTAGTCAGTTTCTGAACGCTTGAAGCTTATTACACCTATTGAAGACTCGGACTAATGCAATAAATTTCTCATATAAAATAAACCTTGAGAGCATCTTGATTTATATTCCCTGACAATATACATTGAAAATTAAACTTGCTTGTTAAATAAGAAGTAATTTCTATCATGGACTGTAAAGTGACGCGAAGTCCTTCCGCAGTCTGTCGAGTAAGAAACTCATTATTCGTAATGGTTCCTTCTTCCATTAGATCTTCCCATTGGTCCAACTTTTGTAGAGATTCTTGTAGGAGCTGTAATATTGGAAAATAATAACATTTAATAAATGCGTTATATCCATACTAAGTTGAGGTTTGTTTCTCAGAACATAGTGCAAAAGGAACATAACGATAAATACTACATACTAAATAATCTTTATTTCCTGGTTTCAACCAATTTTGATATTCTTTTCTATTCAAGGAATCAAGCATGGAATTTATCCACTCGCAGAACTCAGCAGTAGCAGTACTATCTTCTAATTCATGATGGTATGCACTGTAAAAACGTAGCCCTTTTGCAACGGACTTGCTGAGAACCTGGAATGATGAATGTTGTACTTATAGTAGAATTTCTTTAATTAGAATTGTATAACACAGTCATATCATTTACCTGTACAGCTAAACGGACTCGCATTTTTTAAGAATTTTGTAATTCCAAATGATGTTTTGTTATCCTAGGACAGATGGGCATTGGCATACCACGATCAATTTCATATAATTTTTCGAAATGTTTCCATGAAATTGCAGGTCCTTCTGATTTCATCTGTATGATATATTTATAGATACAGTAGAATAATACTTCCAATACAATTAATTATAAGAAAATGTTAACTAGTATTACAATTATAAAATATTTTTATAAATATTAATATATTCTAGAAATATAAGTTTGAAATAATTATTTTATGGTAATATGCATGTATTAGCGTACCTTTAAATTGTGAGCATATAATCGGTTTCGAATTGTTTTTACAATATGTGGTGTATCAGAGAATACAAAAATTTTTCTCCATTTGTCAAGTACATGTATAAACCAACTTTTCAGTTCACTTTTTTTTCCTGATATGCCCATTTTACTTCAAAATTTTCTATTTGTTGCTGCACCATCAGTGACAATACCATGAATTTTAACACCAGTATTTTCTAATAGAATTATGGCTTTGATGATAAGTTCTGCTAATACTGTTCCTGAAGGTGGCCCTCTCGAAGCAAACACACATATAGGTTGTGCCGCATGTAACACATGCAATGGCTGATACATGAATACAAGTGCATGGTTTGCTTTGTCATCAAAACTTTCAGCCTTTACATTATTATTATTTCCAAAATCGACTAGACCAGTTAAAGTTAAATTATTTGATTTTACGTGTACACTTTCGCGCGTGGCCATTTCATCTATTAATAATATGCCATGCCTTTCTTGTTCATTTCTTTCTTATATTTTAGCTCGGAAAAGTTCGAAAAAATTTGGATCAAACCCACAACATGACTTTATGCAAGATAGATATCTGCAATAAAAATAATATTTTAACTGAAAAATATTTGTACATATTAAAATATACTTATAATTATGTTTACATCTACATTTATATTATAACAAAATACTAATAAATACATTTGTAAGAGTATATATTTAGAAACAGTGTATTTTTTTTAAATTATACCTGCATATAGTACTTGGAGATGGCAGTGGCAATATGTTATTATTTAAAATAAAATGGTATCCCTTCGGAGATTTCATATGAAACAACAAACATAGTAAAATCCATTTATCCGAATAACGTCTACCTTTAGTATTCTTTTTCAATGAAGCAGATAATATTTCTCGGAGAGCTTCTTGTTCATTAAGCGGAATATTTTTTCCCGCAATTGTATGTTCTAATATTTTTATATCTTTTGTATCTCTTCTAGTTTTTTAATAGTTAACTTTTTGTATCTCTTCTAGTTTTTTAATAGTTAACTTTTTTGTATCTCTTCTAGTTTTTTAATAGTTAATATTTGACGGGATTTACATTGCACTATAGCATGTTTTTCTTTACGCATATCATCAATTATTTTTTTCTTTGTTGGTGATAAGTTATCCATTCTAATTCGTTTTGCATCACTGTCTTTATTGTTCGCACGCTTTCTCTTTCTGTCTAAAATGTAACTAATACTTTTACAAAAGTTGCATTGAGTTGCATTTTTCAATACTACAGGACATTTTTCATGTCTTAATGTATTTTTACTTTCTTTTATTGCAACACTAGTATATTCTATTTGATACATATTTTTGTAACCTTCGCATATGTTTAATTTTTCAACTGTCTTTATCAAGTCTTCTAATATATTTAGGGATGACAAAATTTCGCTATTTACACCAAATATGTTTAAATTTAATGGTTTTCCTAAAGCTTTTACTTGTATTCTCATGTCTTCAGTTATCCATATTTCTTTTAAACAAATTAGCTAATTTTCTTTTTCAATGGTTTTACATATCATCATATTAAATATTATAACTGAGGTATTGTCTAGTAATACATTTCTCGTCCAACCAATTGGAACATAATGTTTATCATTACATTTCAACTCATTAAATGTTACAAAGCTTTCATTTTCTTTCATATTATCTAAGCTTTCTTTGTCGTCAGTATTATCTAATTTTTCTATTTCTCTGGTATTATCTAAGCTTTTTTGTTCTTTAGTATTATTTGAGCTTTTATTTTTGTCGGTGTTATTACTTTTTCTTGATAATAAACTTTCTGTATTGTCTGTCATATTATTTTCATTTAGAAATTCTGTCCAAGGAAATAGTGTAGGTATCGCACCTTGCTTAAGATATGGTCTCTTTAATGTAATCTACAATATCAATATTAATTATTCCTCAATTACATTGAATGATCACTTAATATTTCATGCAATATACAAATATTATATTTCTTAGTAATAGCACACAATATATTATTTTTGATAACATACCTCTTGAATAATGTCACCATTGTTATTGTAAAAAATTTTTTTACGGACAATATCATGTTCTGCAAAATGTTTATGACAAAAACAATGTGAAGCATTTAAAATGATATCCCTCCTTCGCGATGCTATTTGCCATTTCTTGGCTTCATCATTATTTTTAGGTACATGAAAAAAATTTACCTTTTCGAAGTTACTCTTGTACCCTGATGTGCAACCGACAGATATGCATCTCATTGTTTTAGCGCTTTAGTCTATGCAATACAAAATACAATTTTCTTTAACAATCAACACGAAAGGAAAAAATCTAACCTTAACGTATATATAACGGTATATAAGAATAGAACGAGGAAAATATCTACTTATGTATATATACACATCACATGGAATGTTATATTTTAGCTGCAATGATCTTTCAATATCACAATTAATTATAATTGTAATATGTATTGTACACAACACCAATTAATGCACTTTTATGATGACCTAATGACCTATATATACTAAGAGGCCAACTAAATAGTAACGCCACCTACAACTTTTTGGTCAATAACTGCACACGTATCGTATAAGTAAAATAGAAGAGTCGGATAGGGCTGGAGCTGTTGCTCCGCCTGTGGAGCATGCCTACGCAGTAACTCACAACGAAAGGCGAGAAATGAAATATACGTGTTATGACATAAGTATGTCAACAATGGCTATGTTCAGAAAACACAACGGTTACACAACGGTTGAGTAATTCGTCAACGTTATTGGTCTGAATGTAAGGATCTAACAGTAAGGACCAATAGTTACTAAGCCCTCAGTGAGCGCTTTGTTTTCTGAACGCAATCATTGGATGCATTCAGTACTATACCCGTTCACTGAGCGCTCAATGAGCTTTTACATTTAATTGATATATTCTTTTAGATTTAAAAATATACACCAATCAGATGCAAGAGCTCACTTAGCGCTCAGTGAGCGGTTGTAGTACTAAATGCACCCATTATAAGGCTGCGTTTCGATATTTACTGCTAGCACTGACAATCTATAACACAGCTCGGCAAAAAATGCACGCGACGGCCGATTTTCGACTATCTCCGCCCACCGCTGTTCCCTTTACCTCGCCACTCCGCATGCTGCCTACAAGCCGCTCGAGCCTCAGGAGCGTGTTTCCAACAGTTTTCTACGTCACCCATGAGATACTATTGTTGACGCGTTTTTTTTTAAGTGGTATCCCCAGTAGGCCTAATCCACTGATGACTGTAACAACTCGTAACTAATTGAACAGAAACGAAATAAAATATGTTAAATGAAGAATATTTAATTCGATTTTCGGCGTCTTTTATTAGTAAGAGCGGAAACGTCAATTTGCATATTGCATGTAGCGAGCCGCATAAGACGTGGTAAGGAATCGTCGTTTAAAGAAGAACGCTTCTCATTTTTTATAAACTTCATTTTTGAAAATGAAGTTTCACACAGATACGTGGATCCAAACATAGAATGAATGCGAAGTCCGAAATCCCGAAGCTTGGGGTATAATGACTTTTCCAATATTTTGTAAAGATCGACAGCGGTTTCTTTAACCGTTTTGAACGAAATATCGTTTTGCAAATCGCATAATTCCTCCTGCAACTCGAGAGGCTGTTCGTCGATTGCCGCTGTAAGGGGATTCGCGAAAAGAATTAATTCCTTTCGAAGGTTTTCGAAGCAAGTAAAACGCGTATCGAATTCGTCTATGACAGATTGTATAAAATGATTATACTCCTTAAAATTACAGCTATTGCCGTATTCTTCGAGAAGAACTTGGCAAGAAGGAAAGAATCGAAAAATATCATTATTTAAATGAAATTTTAATAACTGTAATTTTGTTCGGAAGGAATCAATGTGACTCACTAATTGACAAATATTTTGACCCGTTCTTTGCAGCTTTAAATTGAGAAGCCTAAGTTGATTCGTGATGTCGGCAATGAAGGCAAGTTCGGCAAGAAATGTGACATCTTGTAAAAGGGATATATACTCCTGAAATTTCGAGTTGTTTATTTCTTGCAAGAAAAGGAGGATCTCTTTTCTTATGGAAAAAAATGTTTCTAAACATTTAGCAGCACTAAGCTAACAAACCGGGCAATGAAGTGGAACATCTTTGTGAACAGCATCATGTTCATGAAAAAATAATTGAAATTTGCGATGAGTAAAGAACTTATTTCCATCTCTAATAACGTTAATTATTTTTGTCACAGTCTCCATAGCTGTGGATAATTTTACTACTTTACCACACAATGCCTCCTGATGAATGATGCAATGTATAACGGGGATATTGATATTTCGCTGCTTTAATTGCTCGGTGAATCCTATCTTTATACCCGTCATCGCTTTCGCGCCATCAGTCGTAGTCGAAGAACATTTACTGAAATCGACGTCAAAATTTTTAAGCGATTTTTCAACTGCTAAAAAGATATCAAGACCCGTTGTTGTGTCATGTAATGAGACGAAATCTAGAAGCTCCTCGGTATATGAAAAATCGTCTTGCATGATTCGAGTAAAAATACTCAATTGGCTCATATGTCGAATATCGGTGCTCTCATCGATACATAAAGAAAAATATCTACATGACTTCAGAAGATCCTTTAATGTGTCCTTTATAGAATCACTGATATCGATAATTCGTGACGTTATAGTTTTTGCACTAAGAGAAATGCTCGCTGGTTCGTCAAGAGTCATGGAATTGCCGAAAGCCTTTACCGCTTCGATAATACAGCTTTTTACGAAAGAACCTTCGATAAATGGTTTTGAATGTTGTGCTATAAGCAAAGAAATAGCGTAAGAGGCTTGTAGGGATTTTTGCGAAGATGAAGAACAAATAGAAGGTATTAAACCTTCCTGTTGAACTAATTTCAATCCGTCGATAATTTGTAATTTTTCAGCATTAGAATAATTTGAATATTGCACCGAATGATAACGTATGAAATGCCTTTTAACTGCAAATTTTTTAACTACCACCGGTTAAAAACCGCAAAGTAAACAAATTGTTCGACCTGAAATATTACTGAAGAAGAAATTAACTTCCCAAGATTCATCAAAAATTTGAACATATCTCTTTTTGTCCATTCTGGAAATTAATAAAAGAACAAGAAACCTATTAATCCTCGTCACTATGGAACGGCTGCTGCTTCGATCGATCGATGTATCCGCTGTCATCCAGAGAGGTTTTTATATGATATGTAACACTGATTCACTCTTAAAAGTATGAGAGACAAATAATAACCAATTCTGCAAGGTCGCTACTGTCTTAAAAATGCTCCAATGTATCCATGTACGTTAGAAAACAAAAAGTTGAAAATGAAAAGAAAATCGTGTGTATTTCCTACGCAACGTGCGAGAGATACGCCAGCGTTTGTCGCCAGCAATTGTTTACACACGACAAAAACTCCCGAGTAACGAGTTTCAAGTGAATCTGATGAATTTAAGAAAAATTCGTCCGCCATATTGGATTCGCTATTTTGAGTTTTTAAAATCTGACTTCAGATTCGTAATCAGCAGCCAAAAATCTTAAAAGAACCATTTCGGCTGAATTTTTTGAACATTATTATTGGAATATAAATGTGAAGCTGCTATATTTTTTAATTGGACATGGTCAACTTTGACCCCCTATATTTCTTAAACGGGGCATATGCTCATCTTGAAATTTTGCAGGGATTTTTGGGTCATCATAAATAACCATTTGGCATAAAAAAAGTTTCAAAAATCGAGGTACCGAAAACGGGCATTTTTTTGCATGGGGCTTGCCGAGGTTCTTTATTCAGCTGAAATGCTTCATCAGCCACAAGCATATATGGCAAAGGTGGTCTGTCAAAGGAACATGCTGATGGCATTGGTATATCCAATGCATCCCGATGAAATATTTGGCCCATTACAGAATTCAGAAAAATTCCGCCGTCACTATGCCGATCTTGCGCACCAACATCAACAAGCATGAATCTACAGGAGGCCGAAACGATAGCTATGAGCACAATACTGTGAAATCCTTTATAATTGTAGTATGTTGAGCCAGCATGATTTGGGCACTGAAAAGAATTTTAATTATTGAAGATAAAATAGCATGTCAAATCTATGATGTGTCTCGGTCCACAATTTACCTTGATTGCAACGTGTTTACCATCGATTGCGCCAATACAATGTGGAAAGTTCCACTGTTCTTCAAACTCAGCAGTAATTTTTTTCCAGTTGACGCTAGAAGGTTGAAATAATTCATCTTGTAACACGTCCCATAGTGCTTCATAGATTTCCCTTACAATCATCGGTACTCCGTCCCACTCTATATGCATAAGCCATGGAGCTCATTGAATCTCCTGATGCTAAGAACCTATCAATGAAAAATTGAGCGGGTCAGTATGATTTATTAACATAAAGTTACCCTAACGTAGCACTGACTTACCGAAGAGTTAAATATAATCGATCCCTCGCAGAAATTGGTTCCCTATAATTAGTCGCTTTTCAATTACCGGTTGCACTCGTTGTAGTAGAGCATCAAACTTTTCCACACTCATACGGCAATATTGAAAATGTGCATCTTGATCACCAAGACGCATTTCATTTATAAGATAGTGGCCATCACTTTGATTAATTCGTTCACGGATTATAGGCCTCACCCAATAACGTCTATTTCTTCTAGCACGCTGTTTACGATAAACATATATAGTAAACATAGTGACGCTAATAACAGTAATTTTCGTCGTTGATGTAAACGCTCTAAGTACTCGTAATCATTCATTTTGTCCGCCAATGTCTAATGTTGTCAATGTCAATTGTTGTCAAAAGTTTTTAGGTTATATAGACGCTAACGCTTTATGCTGTCGCTTTCGGTGTGAATAGTGACGGTGCTCATAGGCTAGCATTTAGCGCTCACTGCTCGCTGCTTGACGCTTGACGCGTTCTGTCTGAATCAAGCTTTAGTGATTATCGCTTCTGATTGATTCATTCCCTTGGATTCGTTAAAGATCTAAAAGAATACTCCAATCATAGTTAATAATCTCTAAGCGCTTAATAAGCAGTTATTGTCTGTAATTTGTCTGTTAAAGGCCGCGTTCCGAAATTCACTGCCAGTACTGGCAGTACTGCGAATGCCGTTCCAAAATGCGCGGTAGTTAACTTCCAACACACTTTCATGTTCATATGACGTCATAGATTTTTCAGCTACGTTCTGAAATTCATTGCCAATACTGAAGCTCTATAGTTCACGTTACGTATATTATAGCATTTCAATACTGGCGGTAAATTTTATAACAGCCTTTTTCGTCACTTCCTGCTTTCGTTACTGCAGCTCGCGAGGTGAGGCATTCGCAGTAGAAACATGGCGGCATCCGTGGAACATTTGCATCTTCTGGACGCAGAAGATAATGAAGAATATACAATTATAATAAGTTTAAAAGACGCAGAAAAAGCACGAAACGGTATGAATACAATTGATAATAATGTGATTAAATTTATTATTTAAGCACACCCCTAGTAAACACCTAATAAAACTACAAACCCTAATAAGCTACATCAATAATATTTCTTTAATAATACTTTGATGGAAATTGCTCTGATTTATTTATAGACATGAATTTTGCGACAATATTATTACAAGAAGCAAAGAAGCAACAAGATAACAAGCAAACAAGCAGCAATAACATGGAATTGTCCAATACATCGTCACTTATACATTATGGTAATATTACTATATTTATCAATATGACTTCTAAATTTATATAAAATATAATTTATATAAATTATATAAATATTATATTAATTATATAAATTTATATAAAAATATAAATAATAAATTATAAATTTATTATAAAAATACATGATCAGTTCATATGAAATGAATTTATCTATTTTAGCAAGTAGCAATGAAAGTAACAGTTGTGAACCTACAGAAGGTAATTATAAATATTTTTAGTGTGGACTTTAATGAATTACTGAATAATTTAAATATTATATTTTTTTAAATTATTATAGGTATGCATATATGGATAAAACCCTGTTACTATTACATCTATACAGCAAGTATAAAGATAAATTCAATAGCGGAAAAGGTACTGTCAAGCAGTACTGGAATAAAATAGCACAAAGTATGCAAAAAGAGAAATACAATGTGTCAGGCTTGAAATGTTCTACAAAATTCCAATCCTTGAAAAGGACGTTCAAAACTGTGATAGATCACAATAAAAAAAGTGGGAACAATCGAAAAGAATGGGAATATCAAAAGGTATAATATATAATCTTATTTTATATAAACACATATATAAACATTTATATAAATATATGTATAAATATGTATGTACATGTATAAATATATAAATATGCATTGATATACATAATTTATAGTACAGAAAATATGTATTTCATTTCAGAATATGGAGGAATTATTTTCAAATAAACCATGGGTACAACTTCTTAATATAGCTGGATCACACATTGAAGACGATGTAAAAGAAGAAAAAGAAAATATATTAGAAAGATGTAAGTAAAATAAAATTTATGTAGATGTAAAATGATAATTTGTAGATATACATTCTAAATATATTTATTTATAGGTACAAAAAAAGAGGAAATTAAGTATGCTAGTAGAGGAATATATAAGATTTTCATCACAAACCATCTAAAACAAAGTTATGTATACATATATGTTTATAACATTTGTTTACAATAGGGTTTACAATTCCAAAATCGAATCAATAATATTTAATTGTTTACAATAGAGTTTATGATTTCAAAAAGGAATCAATATTTAACTGCTATAAATTATATTAATGACTTACTTGCAGTTGTATCGAATGAAATCCTTTTCGGTTCACATACGATTCACTATTATCTCTTGGTGCAATAATTTTGACATATGTTCCGTCAATTGCACCAATCATTCCTGGAAACCCATACTTCTGTTCTATTGTATTCATTGTTTTTCTGTTTCTTCCATAGTTGGCCAAGAAATAAATGTTGCTACTCTTGCATATAAACAATTAACAACTTTATGTACACTTCTCCATGCTGTGGCTTTTCCTACATTGAATCTGTCTGGAACACATCTGAAGTATCTGCTTGTTAATCTGTTTATTAAATATCAAATAAAAGTGACAATTATAAATGTACAATTCATTTGTATATTATTTATGCATTTTATTACCTATAAGAGTTTGATGTGGCCATCATCCAAATAGCAATTAATAATTGTTTTTCAGGAGTTATGGTATTTCTACCCAAATCATTTTTTCTACATAAATCTGGTTTTATTAATTCCAGCAAATATGTAAAAGTATTTCGTTTCATCCTATATGGACAAATAATACTTAAATATTTCTTGCATATTAATGATAGAATTAATTTCAAAACAATAATTTCTTCAATGTTGTAACAATATAAAGAATCAATGTAGACGAATCAACATTGGAAAAATATTTATACTTTAACTTTTAACATTGCAACGTTTTAGTAATGTTGTTTAAATTTGTTGTGCTATGTAAGATATTGAGAGTATAATAAGATATTCTCTGAATCTATGAAAATTGAACATAGAAAGTATCGATTTGTCGTGGAATTTGTTGCTCAATCGCGGGACGGTGCCAAAAGTTAATAATTAGAAATCAGAAAAGAGAGAAGTTTATTTTCAAAAAATATCTTAATATTCTTTATTTACTTACTAAAATGCATTTGAAATTCTTTGTCTGTGTATAATGGAACCACATCTTCAAGATAATTTTGACACCGCGCACGTTTAGTTAAGCATTTTTCATTTATTAAACTTAATAATATATCGTCTTCACTGTCCGAAGAATCACTATCCGAAGATTCTATTAAACACTTTGTTAATTCTAATACAGCCTGCATTGCATTCATATTTATTTCAATATTTTAAATTTTATTTTAATAAAATACTGCGGATACCGTTTTGTTATTACTACAATATATTGTACTCCGTTCTTTTCATCTGTACTGCTAACCAATGCATAAGTTAGAAACAAATATATTTTTTCTTATTTTAATTTATTGCACCAGTTCAGGAGTGCAGCTAAAAAGAACAAATCACTGAAAACATTATCATAGGTTGTGTTCAGAAAACAAAGCGCTCATTGAGCGCTTAGTAACTATTGGTCCTTACTGTTAGATCCTTACATTTAGACCAATAACGTTGACGAATTACTCAACCATTGTGTTTTCTGAACGCAGCCATTAATTACGGAACACTTATGTCAGCGTGCTGTGATGACATCATGGTCGCAGTACTGGCAGTGAATTTCGGAACGCAGCCAAATGCGGCCAATATTCACTGCCAGCATTGAAAATCTATAGTATACGTGATATAAACTATATATTTTTAGTACTGGCAGTGAATTAGTCTGTTCTTTGTAGCTGCAATAATATTTCTGTTGAACTGGTGCAATAAGTTAAAGTGAGATAAATAAGTTTTTTCACTAATAAATATAAGTTTTCTCTAGTTTATTGCACCAGTTCAGCAATGCAGCTACAAAGAACAGACCAAAATTCGGAACATAGCCATAATTGAGAGTCTGTTCTTTATAGGGTTTGTTCTTTTCAACTGGGCAGCGATCATGAATCTTTCACGTGAACTTCTTTTTCATTTCTCTTTTTACTTGTCACTGTAAGTAATTTCACATGAAAAGTGAATTGTAAAAAAGTGAAAAATAATACTTCTGTAATACAGATAATTAACATATGTAATTATAGTATACAAAATGTAAAGTATAACGTACTAATAAACATTATGCAGCTAAAATTTATAGTTGTAATGTAGTATAATAATATAATGTAAGTAAATATAATGACTGATTCAAACGTTAAGGGCCAGAGCACAGACTTCTGCATAACGCATAATATACAACGCATAAGAGAATCAACTAATCAGAATTCTCTATTTCTGTCCTGAGGAGGGAAATGAAGAAAACTTTGGTTTATTCTCTTATGTGTTATGTATTATGTGTTATGAAGAAGTCTGTGCTCGTGACCTAAGGGTCTGCAGCAAGGTTATTAGATACAGAGGTTGCCTCATTGATGAGCTTGTGGCAGAGTACATCGGGAAGAGGGGCTACTGACGTCATTGTGAATCCCAGTGCAACTCATTCGGCGGCTTCCCAGTGGTTCTCTATGGAACTTTAGCATATGTGATGATAAATACCAAGTGTGATTATAAATACCAAGTACCTAGGTCCGTATAAAAAGATAAACTGCATAAAATATAGTTTTTCTAAAACATAACTATTAGGTACAATCTTATAATTTCTCACTCGACAATATAACTGTAACATAACCTACATGTTATATTACATTTACATTATCGAGTGAGAACTTATAACTAACAGTTATATAACTTTGACTTCATGTTTACTGGATATAAATTTTGTGAAACCATTTGGTGAATAGCAACAAAATGTTACTGTTTCCATCTTCTCATTGTAGTAAAAAAGCTTGCCAAAATGCCTGGGACTAGATGCAATGTAGCTGGCTGCAACAATATTGTAAGATACAGACGAGGGAGGACAGCACCAGTCTATTCCGGGCGGAGCCACGGGAGAAAGACCGGTCCTGAGAGAGATCAGACTCGACGGATGGAGAAGAGGATAAGAGGAGGCGCACGGGGAAAGACGGGGCTTTTTGCCTTTAGCTTTTTGCTATTGAACGTCGAGACGAATAAGAATAATCGAGTCGAGTCGAAAGACAAGTCGTAGATCGTTAAACTTCGTAAAGCGATATATTTGATATAAATTGCGGTGTCGGATACTATTGTATTGTTATTTATTTAAAATATACATACTTATATTCTTGTTCATAATAAGAAGAGTTTACATTAATCGCTCGGAACCTAAACATCCTGAACATTCCTCTTTTACAAAGGAAGAGGACCAAGAAGAAGAGAGACAGAAGAAGAAACAGAATAGGGAAATAGAGGATCTCTCTTTTTTAAATCTTACAGCCGCAACTTTCTTTCAGAAGTGGGATACAGCTCATGCCAATTACGCGATTACAGTTTAAAGAACAGCAATTAAGAGTCGGAAAAATGAACAGGAATGTGCTGGATGGAATGACGCTGAAGCAGCTGCAGGAGGAAGCAGTAAAATTCCGATTGCCGGTATCGAACGACCGTGAACGGATGATAGAACAAGTGATGTCCCATCTAGAGCGACACGGGCCGATGAGAGACCTTCTTGCACCAGAGGAGAGCTCACGAATGGTAAAAGACCGACAGGCGGCGGTGACCACAGCCGAGGAACAAAGAATGGAGCAGCAGACGGAAGGGTCCTCACAGAATATAATCGGTCAAGTCACGGACAGTTTGGCCAAGATGCAGCGCTTAATGCAAGAACAGCAACAACAATTTATGCTGCAACAGCAAAATCAGTTTGAACGGTTGCTTCTAGTGCTATCCAACAGGAGACCAGAAGCCGGTCTTCCGATTGAGAACCAAGGCGGAGGAAGATCGACGCAAAATTCTACACCATCGGGAAGTGACGGCGGGGTGACGGGTCAAAACCCCATAGAAATGCAACAATCGCAAATCTCGGTTTCTACCTTAGCGTCGCAGATTCCGGAGTTCGGTGGAACCGAAGAGGAGAACGCTAAAATCTGGATACAACGAGTCGATTGTGTAGCGGCTATACATGGAGCGACAGATGGTGTGACGCTGCTTGCAGCAACGGCGAGGCTGACGGGAGCAGCCAGGAAATGGTATGACGCACAATACGGACTGATGCTGCAAACATGGAGAAGGGTAAGAGAAGAATTGCTTAAAATTTTCGATCGAGAGATTCCCTTCTACAAAATTATAAATAAAATAGAGAGTCGAAAATGGAACGCGGTAAAAGAAACCTTTGACCAGTACGCTCTGGACAAATTAGCGCTGATGCAGCGAACAGAATTATCTGTCCAAAATAAAATACAATTATTGATAAACGGAATAGCGATGAGCGCGCTGAGAGCTACAGCTTTGTCATTATCGGCGGAGACGATTGAAGACTTTTTGACCAAGATGAGACGAATCGCGGAGGGCGTGATCGAGTCAGAAAGGAAAGCGCCGATCGGGTCGAATATTGCACGTTCTAGAGAAATAAAATGCCGAAACTGTAGTAGAAAAGGACATCCCCACAAGGAATGCCGGAGTGAGCCGACGTGCTTCTACTGTAAAGAAAAAGGGCACCGGCAGTTCGAGTGTCCAGTCTTGAAGCGAAGAGAAGGGGCTGTTGTTCCAGCAAGGGCGCCAGCCTATGCAGGAGGACGTCGAGCGGCAGGAGATGAGGCCCCGAGACATCCGGTTGCCGTGGTGCAGGAGCAGGAGGTAGCGCCGGAGCAGGAGCAGGAACTGCGAGTCAGCGAGCCCTTTATATCGGTCGCCACTATAATGGGTAAGCGATGCCAGATTAAAGCCCTGATAGATACAGGCAGTCCAGTATCGTTTATTAACGAAAAATTATACAAAATGTACATACAGCCGACGATACCGACGTTAAAACCGGTCGGAACAAAATTATATAATTTAAACGCGCAGCCGTTAGCTATTTTAGGATCAACGCAAGTACAGCTAAAACTCGAGCCAACAAAAAACTTAGAATATGATGTCGATCTCTTTGTGTTATCGAAACAATCGTTCCAAGGAGAGATAATATTAGGACGCGATTTTCTATACAAAGAAAGAATCTCTTTTGTCTTTAGACCACGAAGTGAAAAAGTAGAGCGAGTTTGTCTGTTCGAACAATTGCCTTTGTGTATCGAGGAAGGCATAAATAAAACCGTTAACGATAAGCTAGACGATATCAAAATAGATTATAATAAACAGACAAAAGAAATGTTGCTAGATCTATTGGTGTCGATGAACAATAAAGAGATCGAAGCAATCGAAGACGGGCACGCGATACGTGTACCCTTGAAAGATAAGTCGATATACGCGTATGCCCCGCGTCGGTTTGCGTTCGCTGAGCGCGACGAGGTCAAAAATATTATTAACGATCTATTAGCACGGGACATTATAAAACCAAGCATATCGCCTTATTGTGCTAGAATTGTACCGGTGAAAAAGAGAAACGGTAGCATGCGGTTATGTGTCGATCTACGACCTTTAAATAGTCGTGTAGAAAAACAAAAATACACTTTCCCGCTGATCGAAGATTGCTTAGCAAAATTGGCGAATAAATCCATATTTACATTGTTAGATATAAAAGACGGTTTCCATCATATAAAAATCGATGAGCGCGACACAAAATACTTTGCTTTTGGCACACCAGATGGCCAGTATAAATATAAAAGATTACCCTTTGGCTATAGCGAAGCACCGGCCGAATTTCAAAAAAGGTTATTGCAGATCCTGAGACCGTTAATTAATGACGGAAAGATTATTGTATATATAGACGATATTTTGATCGCATCCGATAACATAGCCGAACACTTGGAAGTAATTGGAGAAGTGTTAATTATTTTAAAACAATATAAATTCGAGCTTAACTACGATAAGTGCTTATTTTTGCGAAAAGAAATCGAATTCTTGGGTTATATCGTGAAAGCGAACGGTATTACCTTGAATCAACGACATGTCGAGGCAATCACAAAGTTTAGAGAACCGCGATCAACGCATCAGGTACAACAGTTTTTAGGATTGACCGGGTACTTCCGACGGTTTATAAAAGATTTCGCGTTAAAGGCTAGGCCTCTACAAGACCTACTAAAGAAAGGCGCAGTATTTGACTTCAGTCCGCATTGTCGAGAAGCCTTTAATACTTTAAGAACAGAGCTTACATCGTTTCCCACTTTGCGTTTGTATGATCCAGCGGCGGAAACGGAGATCCATACCGATGCTTGCATCCAAGGGCTGGGCGCGATATTATTACAGCGACAAAAAGACGGGGTGTGGGCA